ATATTGTTTCTTTGAAACTCTTGTTCTGGAATCTTGTAGTATTGATGTATTCTAGATCTCGGGGCAACGTTAAGTTCCTGTTAGGGAACTTAGATAGTTCTTGTTAGAGAACTAAGTTCCTCTTAGGGAACTCTTCATGTACCTGTAAGGGAACATGCTCCGGCTCTCGTGGGAAAGCCTGCCAAAGGTTCCTTCTCCATCTCGTTAGAGAATATCTTCTGGTTCCTTCGTGGTTTGGTTCTTGTGGGAGAACCTACTTTAGGTTCATTCATTCTCTCTTGTTCCTCTTGAATTCTTTTATGTTCCAACCCATTGACTTCACCTAAGTCAGTTCCTGTCTTCACATAAACACTTAAGAGAAACATTAGATTGAATTTTGTTTGTCATAAACAAACTTCAAGTGAGAGAACTAATTAAACTTAAAGCTTATGTAAATACTGCTCCTACACATATACAACTCATGTATGCATAGTGTACTTACCTTATGAAGCTAACATATGCAAACACCTATTTACATAGTTACCTTCATGATTCCTTAGCCATCATCATGCTTATCAACCATAACACTCATCATTGTTCTTGTTCTTCTATTGCTTATCATATATTGCTTAAGTTCCTTATATACTTGTCATTGCTCAGGTTCCTTGTATCCTGTTCCAAGTATAACTTGTTCTTTCTATGCACAACTTAACAAACACGTTAGATAGATAATCATCATTAGTTTACAATCATCAAAACCTAATTCCGCAACATAACTTTTATTCATTTAATATTTCAGTAACCTCATTTAAACACAAGGATAACCCTATTTGTGCATAAGAAATCAAAATTCGTTTTAGATTATTAAAGGTTACACAGTTACCATCTCTACCAACTTTTATTAGCCAGTGTTTTAAATTTCACATAATTAACATTATATAATCCTTTCAAATTAGAGGTTTTTTAATTAATTTATTTTTTACAAGATTAGAACTAAATAGATATGAGGTAAAAAAAAAAAAGGTAAAAAAAAACTTAACATCTGAGGTAACGCCCGGATCACACACTAGCTATACAAACAGTTCAACATAATTATCAAATTAAGAATTACAAAGAACAAATTAGACAATATGGGACATTGCCCGGACCACTCACTAATCACTTAATTAAATGTCTTATATATGAAGTTGTCACACCATCAACTATGTGGCTAATCATATATTCATATATAAGAGTTAGTGATATCTTTGCCCTCTCTTATTGGATTGGATTAACTCGATAAAAGCAACATACAAAATCATGATCATAATATTGCCCTCATTGAAACTTCTTTGAAACTTCATTATTGTTGTCAATATCAATAAATAAATATATAATTGCAAATATAAATATACTACGTATATTATCTTCGTATATTAAGAAACTTCCATTCATCTTTGGAAATAAATCATGTAGTAGTAACTTGCAAGATGACACAATTTCTGAAATTTTATACGGCTCATATAAAACAAATTCTACGCCATTTATATGATATGATAAGCGGAATATAACCCCATCAATCTTGTTCGCTGTTGTAAATTAGTTGCTAGTTGCTACACGCACTATAAATTGAGAGCTTCTTGGAAATTGCTAGTAGTTCTATCAATAAGTTTTGTAAAAGGTGGGTGTACGTTAATTTTATTGCAAAATGATCGGCTTTTACTATTTTTATGACAACCTTTAATCTCTCAAAGGGTAACTTTTAATTTGTCGTTGTTTTGAATTTTATTTTATCGTGTAATTTTTTTTATAGTTTCATGATTACAAAGTATAAAGGCTAATATGATTATCTTAATACATTATAGGATTTTTATAAATTAAAATTTATTAGGTTTTTTTTTACTTTTACCGAAAAAAAAATAAAATAAATTGTTTTTTACCATCTATCATCGAAATAACTGGTAAATCTAACAAATTTTTTAAAGTCTTTGATTTTGTGCCAACAAATGGTCTTTACGTGTTCAAAAAAAAAAAAAAAAACAAATGGTCTTTAGGGGTTTTGGTCCAATTTGAGGTCAGAATTGAGGGCTCGTTTTTCCTACTTTAAAATACCTCGATTTGCGGAAAACACGCTGAACGGGCATTTCTGATCATTGTTTGTCAATTATGACCTCTAATTGGACCCTTTGAACCAAAATGCCCCCTAAACCTATGAAGAACATGTTTTGCGCACAAAAATCGCAAATGTTTTTTTTAAAACCGTTAGAATTAACGGTTTTGTTTACGGTAGGTGATAATAAACAATTTTTAGAAATTTTTTTGATGGTAAAATAAAAGTTTTAGTGGTAAAAAACATTTTTTTGTGGTAAAAGTAAAAAAAATCCAATTTATTCTTTGAAAAATAATAACTTTTGTAGTATAAACAACAACTTTAAATACTTTTAACACAACTTTAACCCATCTTACAATAAATTAACGTATTACCCACCTTTCGGAAAATTGTGTAATTCGGTCTACTTAGTTTCTGTAATCGTACACTTGTCCGCGCGACTACACATAGTAGCATGATGCCATGAAAGATTCTTTATTAAATTCATCTAGCTAGTCTTAAACTCGTGCCATACACGACTATTTATTGCATTGTAATTTTTGTTTATTTAAAATAAACATTAATAAAAAATAATATTTTTTAATTATGGAGTTGTAGAAATTGCTTAAAAAGATGCAACACAACATGATTTCCAATGATTTTTTTTTTCTTAATAAACTTTAAGACTCTATCTAGACTCTAGAGTTCTCGCTCCTTTGCTTTATATTGGTGCTTCAAACATTGATGTAAGGAAATAACGATTGACAAAACTAAAGAGTAAAAGTGGTTCAGTTTCAAGTTTCAACTAACCTTAACAGAATTTGGAGCCCAAAATTCAATCTCACTTTCACCAGTGCTCCAGTTTTTTCCTTCCTAAAAATTTAGGAAAGGTAGAAATATTCAAATTGGGACTTTGATTTTCAGGTACATAATTAATGTTTTAAAAATATGCAAACTGTTTGATACTTTTTAACATATATATATCAATTTAAGTTGTGATGTAGTGAAAAATTTCTATAGCCTCAATAAATGTTACCATTTACATCTTAAACACCCTAAAGTTTGAAAAGGTATACATACATTAATTTATACATTTTACCAATTCTCTTGAATACTATACAATAATCTTCCACCATATATACTGATAGGCGTGTCGCATACCTAACAAAAATAAACCTAACTAGACCACTACTATGTAGACGGGCAAGCAAGGGTTGGATCCCAAGAAACTATGGTTCAACTAATTAAATAGACTCAAGCAATTACTAAGCAAGTAAGCAAATCAAATGAATGAGAATCAATAACTAAAGAACTTATTAAAACAATTAAATCAAAACAATATGGAAAATCAATGCTAAAAACATCCAAGATCAAGCATCACCACGAATACAATTAATGCAATAGTCGTTCTACCCCTAACACATAATTCAATTGATTAAAGAGGAAAAGTAATCCATGAATAATACCAATGGTCTCTCCCGAGTTATCAATGGCTTCTCTAAACACAATTAAGCCTACTTCTGTGGAATCATGTAAGTTAAAGACCTTAAGCACATTACTCTGACTTCCTAATCATCCATTCAACTACTCCCGTGATGAACTTCAAACCCTTAATTGATTTATTCAAATCCATCAAAACCCAACTCCCGTTGCGATTAAAATAAAGGATTAATAATAATACAAATTATCCCTAATAATCTAATATTGGCATAAGCATAATCAATTAAGCACATCAATTACAATTATTATTAGAGAATTTAAAGAATTAATCATGTATCAATTATATTCGGGTTCCGCTAGATCTTGGAATAAGAAAATTACTCACACATATTAATGAAAACAAAAACAATATCCAATGAAGAAAACATAATTATTAAGCAATTAAAAGTAAAAGAAGAAATAAAGATGAATACCAATTGCTTGAATGAAGAAAAGTACCAATTGTTGATGAACAAAGATCAAAACTTGAAAGTGCAAATTAATCTAGATCTAGAGGGAATATTAGGGTTCTAATGAAGGTTTAAAAGCTGGAAAAAATAATAACTAAGTCTCTTTTGTCAGCTTTTACAAAGGGTATTTATATCCCTTAATTAAGAAATCCCGAAAGTGATGAAAACGCGCTCCGCGAAGCCTTGCCCGGTCAGACCAGGCAATGTCGCCCAGTCGGGCGCGAGAAACAAAGTCGGCTTGCGTTTCTTCATCTAGCTTCCTCATGTAGTACCTCGTATGCCCGGGCTGCCCGGGCAAGGCTGCCCAGTCCGGGCGGACGAAAGTCAAACTATTCATACTTTCTCTCTCGTGGATTCTCTTCTTTCCTTCTTCGCCCTGGCCAGGGCGGAGACGGGTAAAATTCTCCTCCATCTTAATAAGCTCTCATGGCTATCCAAAATAAGTCCAAATCATCCGAAAATCTTCATGCGCCTACAAAATCAATTAAATAGACCAAGCCACACTAGAGAAGAGAATATTAGCGAGAAGTAGCTCCGTAGAGCTCAAAAACCATACGAAAATAGCTATAAAATGAGGGTAAAATATGGTATAGAACGTGTCCATCAAATGCCATATCAACCATGCAATTAAATTTTAGCTTGTACTCCACAGTAGATATACATATAAGGGATACAACTTAGGGGGTGTTTGGTATGGAGTTAGTATAGGAAACGGAATGGAAATAAATTAGGAGGGGAAAGGGTAACAAATAGTGTTACCCTTACTAGTTGTTTGGTACATCAAAGGAAACGGAAACAGTTATCACCATTCCATTTCCTCTTGTTTGGTATAACAAACGGAAATGAAAAATAAGAAAGAATAATACAATATTGTCTATGCTACATATTTTACGGTAAAAAAAAAGATAAAAATAAATAAATAACTTGTATTGCATATAAATATATAAAGCAAAGTTGGCACTCATTAATTATCCAAACATTGACTAATAATATGTCAATCATCATATGAATAATCCTAAGACATAACCTATATTGCTCAAGTTGCATATGTTTAACAAAAAAACAAAGACATTGCTCAAGTTGTTACTTCTTAAGAAGATCAATTGCATATTGTTTTTTCATATTTAATGGTGCTTGATAGAAGATGCGAAGCTTATGTTCTTCCGCCATGAGAATAGTAGCAACCTCTAAAGCTTCGGATGGAGAAATGCCATCTAACTTCATCACCTCGTCCAATACCTTGTTCACCTTTTCATCCATCCTTTGCTCCCTTTCTTCCGCTTTAGACCATGCACTAGCCATAGTCCCGAGATTAACATTGATATTTTCAAATATCTTCCCAAAATTGTTGGAACAATCACGGAGGGAGGCCACCAAATCATCATCATCATTCCTACACAAACTCTTCAAATTTACCTTGTTCTTTCCTTTCACCTTAGTCTCCTTTGCCTTTATAGAGGGTTTTCCGGATTGAGTAGTAGAATCACTTGCGGAAGAATGAATTGTAGAAGCCTTCACTTTTGCCATTTTTGAAGGAGTTATATGATCATCCTCTATCTTCATGGGGCGTTTTCCGGATTGACTTGTAGAAGAATAAGTGTCCGAATGAGTAGAATTCACATCATCTTCTTCATCACTCTGGACATTGAATGGTTGCTTATCAATCTCTTGATCCATTTCTTCTATAGCATCAACAAACGACTCACTTGCATCTCCGGTAGCTTTGTCTTTTGCGTATATCTCCGCAAGAGTTTCATAGTGAATGAATGGAACTCCAAACAACCCTTTAGCTTTCTTATGAGTCTGCCATATAAGAGAATGCAACAAGTCAAAACATGAAAATCAGAATTGAACCAAGCAACTATAACCACACATACTGTAGCAGAGTGCTTCAGCAGCAGTACATACTAGATTCTGAGATATAAACTTTCTGTTTATCCTACATATTCCCATATCGCTGCAAAAACTAAAAATTCAAAAACAAAGACAGCTTAATAATTTTAAAATAAATACAGCTTATAAAAAAAAGTAATAGAATCACACCGTCAAGTGATCATCAACAAGATACAATTACTCCATCTACAATGAATAAATCCCAACCAAACTTTGACAAAGTTGTTAATCACATTGTGAACCAATCTGTTTCAAACAACTCAGAATTGCAAAATCATAAAATCAACTTAAAACAGTAAATTAATAAATCAACTTCTTCAATGTTTGGGCTGAATATGCTAGTTTCAGTAAAGTTGTGGAGGATTCATGGGTGCAAACTAGACAAGGGACTGCTATGTTCAAGGTAACTCAAAAACTCAAATCAGTGAAGATGGACTTCGAGAACCTAAACTATCAGTTATCCCCTCCCCTATCACCTATTCCCCTCCCTGCCCCCTTCCCTTACACACACTGCTTCTCTCCCTACTTCTCTCATATTCACTATGAGCAGCAATTCTCTCAGGTCATATGAACTGTCCAGTAGCAGTTCTAAAGTGTAATTGAAAAAAATGAACAAAGAAGAATGAAATAGCAGTTCATACCTTCACCCATTCATCGTACACGACCTTGTCTACTTGCAACAATTTCTTTTCAGCATCCCATCCAAATCCTGAGGTGGATAACATTTCTGCAAATGCACTATATTTCTCCGACCAATGCTTGATCCTCGACTCAATGTGGGGAACCGCTCTCAAGCCACAATTAGGAAGTACACCATTGATCATCTCTTCCAACTTATTCATGTAACCATTCTTAAACCCATTCTCACACTTCCACTTCGGATCGCAACTCAACTCATGCAAATATCTTATTAGAACCGCATCTTCTTCATACGTCCAATACCTTTTATTTTTACCTCTTCCTCGATTGCTAGCCTCCATCCTAAGCAAATTAGAAATAACATAACGCAGATTAGAAATAATAGAAGACAAATTAGAAATAAACAGAACATAAGGCAGATTAGAAATGAACAGAACAAAAAGGCAGATTCAAATTGGCAGTGGCTTCAAAATGCACAAAAACAAAAAAAAATGCATCTATATATATAATATAATCGAAGGTAAAAAAAATCATACATTTTTTGCTATTGACCATGTCTACCTCTCGCCCTCCAATCATTAAACATATCTTGGGCTAATTTGTTTCTAAAATTGGTCCAATGATCTGAAGTAGCAACACTTGTAATAAATTCCCTTTCATCATCGGAATCACTTTCGGAATCATCATCGGATTCATTCAATTCATCTTCGTTTATATCATCGGTAGGCATGAATTTTCTAAGTGAAGGACTTCTCGGTCCATGAGTTCTTATAGGGAAAAATGAAGGACTTCTAAGAATACTCCATCTTCCTTTAAGTAGGCCAAAACATCTCTCAATCACATTTCGCGCCCTAGCATGTTTCATGTTATAGAACTCCTCGGCACTTTTGGGTTGTCGATCCGTCCATTCTTTTAAATGGTATCTTTGACCTCTATATGGAGCAAGAAAACCCTCACAATTCGTATATCCCGCATCAACCAAATAATAATTACCTTCAAAGTTATTAAAGGAAAGGATTACTACCTACCAAAACTAACAAAACTTATACATTCACAAAAGAATGAGCTTCACTTACCTCGAGTTACCCTAAAACCGTTTGGTCTAGAGAGAGCATTGCGAAGTACACGCATATCATGGGCCGAACCTTCCCAACCAGGAAGAACATAAATAAATTGCAAATTGGGTGCACAAACACCCAATACATTCATAGCAATTGTTCCTTTTCTTGTTCTATACTTTGGTCGTTCTTGTGAAGGCACATTTACATTAATGTAAGTCCCATCTAATGCCCCTAAACAATTCTACAAAAATAAGAAAAAATATTACTTACATACAATCAAAAATAAGAAAATCCTAGCAAAATTTAGGGGCTTAAAAAAGACCAATACCTTGAAAAATTTCCACCTTTCATCTTCACAATCATCCAATATTGGTGTGGGATTGTAAAGTAATACTTCATGTAATTTGAGAAGAGCCCTTAGACAAAGGTAAAATTGTCGGCTCACGGTTTCTCCACTTCTAAAGAAATATTGTCCAATAGACCTATTCTTCTTATGGTGAGCCAACGTGTATAAAAACATGGCTACGATCTCTTGAAGTGACATATTTTTTGTTCCACTCAAACCCCCAATGTCTCTAAGCATCTCACAAATAATATTGAAAGTTCTTCTATTAACGCGAAGCTCACTCTTGCATTTCACATCACTCTCTTTATAAAGCCCTCTCAAAACTAACATTCGTAGCAACTTTTTGTTTCTTTTTCTTTCTTTCAATTGAACACCCTTTATTGTAACAACACACATCATATGCCACATCCAATACATCATCAAAATAATAATAATCATTGAAATAACTAGTTGTATTTGTTTTAGCTTTTTCTTCCTTGTGGAACGCATAAGTCGGGGCATTGTAGAAATCTTGAAAAACTAGTCCAAAAAATATACAATAGTATCAATATACACTAGTATCACAAATAACATCAAAATAATAAACTCCTTATTCAGAGTTGGAAATCAGATTCTGACTAAGCTCTCTGCTCATATGAACTGTCTAGCAGCAAAACTATAGATTGGCCTTCAATAGCATTCAGTTTTGCATTACAGTCTTCAGAAAAAAAAAAAAAAAAAAAAAAAAAAAAGAGCAGCAGATTCAAGGCAGTCTAGAGACAAACTACTTGATGGGAATAAGCTACCAAAGGATTAGAGCTAATACAACACATCCAATACATCCACATGAACATTATACAATATACATCAACCCAATTGCTCAAGATTGTTGGAATCATCTAAACAAATTACAATGTCTCAAAATTTATAATAACCAAATCATTATTATTATTTTGGCAGCAAATCAATAATATAATGGAGAAAATAAAAATATGAATACAAATTACCCTTCATGTAGTATTCAGAGACTAACTGCCTTCAACCTAAGACGATAAAAGCCATTCAAGATTGGCCACTACCTAAGTTCCTCAGCAATCAGTTTATGATGACAAGGAAAGTTCTGCTTCAAAACCCCTTCCAAAGTTCCAAGTATCATAAGTTCAAAACTTGCATTTATTCGATTTCACGTGTCATGGCGATTGTATTCTACTCATGTCAAAGCAATTACAGGCAATAATAACCAACAATTACAAGCAATAATAGCAATATATACCATCAAATTGGGGAAACCACAAAATAGCCAACAATTACATGCAATAATAGTAATATATACAATCAAATTCAGCAAAATATCAACGAAAGAGAAGAGAAAACTTCAATCGAACAAGCAAATAAGGAATTCAAATCAGAAAGCGAAATTGATATCATATAAACCCTAGTAATTGAATAAGCGAAATTAAAGAATTTGCCGTACTTGAGATTGTAGATTTCTGTAGATTTTAGGTAGTAAATTGAAAATTTTGCAGCGAAATCAGGAGAATTGCAATTTTCATAGGAAAATTTTCAGAAAAAATGTCGAAGGAGGTTGGGAATTCTCAGGAGAAGGGTTGGATGAGAGGAGAGAGGAGAGAGAAAACTTTGTTTTCTTTTGTTACAGTAAGGAAAGGTATTTGTTTCCCTTTGCTTTCCTCTGGAAACAAAATGATGGAAAGGGTTAGAGCCAAGAAACGGTTTTTGTTTCTTTACCCATTAAACAAACACAATGTAAAGGAAACGGTAACAGATTCCGTTTCCAACTCTATCAAAAACCCATACCAAACACCCCCTTATTTTTATTCCTTAATTATTGTTTTGCAATATACATGAATTAGAAGAAATAGGCTTCTCAATTAGAACTTGTAGCCCCAATTTGAACTCTACTTATTAATGATCCACTATGACCATTTGGTAAACCAAACATGTTAATTCAATTAAATGTGGAAAACACATTTTAATCGTACATAAGCGACACTTTAAATATGAATGCATAGTGAAATAGAAATGGAAAGGAATTTACTATTTACAATGGTGGGATTCTCAACAATTAACTACCCTTAAGAAAAAAAATATTGATCTTGGTTTCCATTTCTCAATTTATATCGAGCACTATTGTAAATTTGTTGAGGCTATTTTCTATTGACAGAGGCTATTTTTTACTGTTTGTGGGCCACTATAACAAGTTGGACAGATTTTGGAGTTAACACCGTTAACTCACCGTTTGCTGCTATTCATCATCATCATCATCTTCTTCTTCTTCTTCAATTCATCTTCATATTCATCTTCTTTCTCTTGTTCATATGTTTTCTTCCCACCCACCTTAATCTTCTTCCTCCAATATTTGCCAACATTCAACTCTTTTTTCAATTCTGTTTGACACCATTTCCGCCGGTTTTGTCGACAAAATTAAACAAAAAACCTTAATAAAAAAGAAGAAATTAATAGCATGGTTAACCTTAAAGGGTAGCTGAATTTTCCTTCCTCCATTAAATTCGACTTTGTATCACCATTTCAGCGGGTTCGCCGCAGAAATTAAACGAAAATTAAACCCAAATAACAAAGTGAAAATAATGAGCAAGGTTTAGCTTTTCTTCCTCCATAGATGTCACTTGTTGAGTCATAGTGAAAAGGTGTACTTTCCACCATTGAAATTGAAGGTTGAAGAAGGAGAGAAAAAAACAACAAAAGGTTGGAGGAGAGAAAACAAATCATAAAATACCAAAAGGTTGAAGGAGGAGAGAGAAAATAACAATTAACCAAAGGTAGATGTAATTTACGTATACACCCTTTTATCAAGGTTATAAACTTGTATTTCCTTACTCCCTCTGTTTTGAAATACTTGCTCTATTTCTCCTTGTGCGGAGTTTTAGAAAAAATTGGATAAAGTAATAAGATATGGAGGTAGTGGAGTAAGTGGAAGAATAAAAAACTGTAAAAAGCAAAAAAAATTGAGACAATTGGAGGAGAGAGAGTATGAAATTAATAAAATATGATTTATGGTGGGTCCACTAGATGAGAGAAATGAGTTAAATATTATAAAAATTTTCTAAATGAGGAAACGGGGTAAATATTTAAAAACGGCCGGAAATAAAAAGTGGACCAAGTATTTAAAAATGGAGGAAATATATATTAACCAACACCTACTGGGATATATATTAATTAACACCTACTAGGCTACTATAGTTCACTTTTAGTAATTATTACTACCAACAATTATTTATTTTTTTATTTTACCACCAATAACAATTTCTTAAACATCAAAATTTACCACAGCTTTGCCCAAATCCTCTTGCATGACGTCACTTTGGGCCTCACCCCTTAATTTTCACAATTCTTTTTCCTTCTTCTCATGATGATCCATTTTTTTATTCATTACTCTATCTCAAATTTGGGTAAAAACATAAAATTAAAAATAAAACAAAAAACAAAAATTAGGGTTTCAAAAATTATTCTCTTAACTTCAATACTTAAATGGAATTGAGAAAAAGGGTATGTAATGTTGTTTTATATTTTCAGAAACGTAACTTTGGGTTTTGAAATGAATTAGGGTTTTAAATCATATTGGAGATTTGAATAGTGAGGCATTTGGGGAAATAGCTCAAATAATTAAAAATGTGAATTGAAAAATGGTTTGATATTATTTCTAATTTAATGGGCTTGTAGTCTAATATATAGCATAATTCTAACATATTACAACTACTGTGTATGCAGAAGTTGAAAAAATTACTCCATACAATTTTTGGAGTCATTAAACACATAATAAAATCAAAATTCATAATTCAAAATACAAATTACCGCTAATAATTTGAATGTACATTAAGAACAAAATTACTATATATATATATAGGGGAAGGTTCTTGTGAGAAATTTTCTTATGTGAGAATTTTTCTTATGTGAGAACACTCTTTATGTTCTAAATTTTTACTCGCATGTTCTAAATTTTAAATCTGATGTTCTAAACTTTTCCTTAGGTATTCTAAATTAAATCAAATGTTCTAATTTAGTACTCACATGTTCTAAACCATAAATTAGTTAAGTTCGATGTCATAAATTTTAAATAGCTTGTTCCAAAATTTTAACTTGTATGTTCTAAATTTTAAAACGTGTGTTTTAAGATTTTTAATTATATGTTCCAGATTTTAAATTGTATGTTCTATTTTTTTACTCGTATGTTCTAAATTATTTACTCACACTTTCTATATTATATATCAATTTGTTCTAAATTTTTATTCATATGTTCATAATCTTAAATCATATGTCTAAATTTTACTCGCTCATATGTTTAAAATTTCATAAAGCAAATTTTATAAATTTTTAATCACTTGTTCTAATTCTTAAATCAGATGTTCTAAACATATTACTCACACAAATGTTCTAAATTATTACTCTTATGTTCAAATTTTTAATTTGAGTCACATGTTCTAAATTTTAACTCGCATGTTCTAAATTTTAATTCACATGTTCTAAATTTTTACTCACATGTTCTAAATTTTAAATCAGTTCTCATATAAGTATGAATTCTCACATATGGACCTATTCTCACCGGATCCCTCCCCTATATATATATATATATATATATATATATATATATATATATATATATATATATATATATATATATATAATTATAGCTATTGTAATTAGTTTTAATCTTGGCCCTTTATTTTTAATGTTCAATCTTGTCCATTCATTCAATTGACTTTAATTTTTTTTTTTTTTTTTTTTTTTTTTTTTTTTTTTTTTTTTTTTTTTTTTTTTTTAAGTTTCTTGATGACAAGTAAAAAAAAACTGTTTTACATATTCTAAGGCGAAAATTATGAAATTTTCCATTGATGCATATTCTTGAAATTTCTTAGTTAAAATGATTCTCCCATCTCAATTAAAAATCAACATTTGATTATAGTTTATCAATAATATAAACCTAATTACCGCATTATATATTACAGCTTTACAAGGCCCACAATTTTTGCATCAAATTTATCAAAAAAATGAATCATCCTCCAATCCATTAAAGAAAACCAGAAAAAGTGAGGAAAAAAGAAGATGATTAAAAAAAAATTGTGAAATTTGTCTACAATTTTCAAGAAACCAATCACATGATATCAAAGATGGAAAAATTGAAAACATCAAGTAAGATAAATTAGAAATTTCATCCTTCTTTCGACCAAAATTTCTGGTATTAAAAAAGTTGATTTTTTTTGGTTGATAATCGTATTTTAAAGTCAACTAAATAGATGGATATGATGAATTTTATTAATCAGAGGGTTGTGATTCACTCAGTTACAATGGCCACAATTTTATTGTATTGTAGCCATTTGAAAATTGTCCACTCTACATACAGCTTCATATTTTGAAAGCAATATATACATTTTGGGATAAGAACTATTCTTAAAGTTGTGTAGTTGAATGCATTATACTAACTTTGTTATATATTATGTGCAACTTTAGGATATTATTTGTGAATTATAAAAAATTCGAGAGTTGCATATAATATGTAACGGGGAAATATTGCTAATTCACTCTAGTTGTTTACTTTATGTAATGAAAAAATAAAACTTGACGGGTATTTTCCAAACCCGGTATGGGTTAGCTAAACCCACAAGACGTATACTAGATACTCCAGTGGTTTGATAATATTGCCTTACTAGACATCATGAGCAAAAAATAAGGCACTCTCAATTCCTATTCAAACCTGCAAACGATCATCTAATTTTAAAGTAGACATCAATTTGATTTAAAACGATCGTTTTTATTGAATTGAAATAATTTTTTGTAAGCTAACAGAATAGGGCCTAAAAGGTATTATACAACTGCTAAAACAGGTAACCAACAAGCACTCATGCTAAATTGCTAATAGCAAACCTCCTTTTATTATCAAAAGTAACATCTATAGTAAAAGACATAGTTTTACTGGTGAAATTTCATCATAAATAAAGGCTAAAACCACAAATATAACCAAATTTTAAGGGGAAATACATAGATTTAAACGGCTTAACTGCAAAAGCACAACATATAGTCAAACATGCTTAATTAAAGTTTATGTAAGATAACAGGGACACCATGTTGGGGTTGAAGGGCTATAAAAGAAGACGGAGCATGGGTGTAAGATGGTGCGATCTCAAAACTGAAGCGCTGCAAGATCATAGACAAAGCCATTTTAGCCTCAGTTAACGCAAAATTTTGACCAATGCAAATCCGAGGTCCCCAACCAAAGGGGAAGTATGAATTGCTCCCTTTAGTTGCCTTCGCAATCCCTTCTACAAATCTCTCTGGTTTGAATTCCTTGGCATCAATACCCCAAACTTCGGAGTCCAAATGAGCATGGAGTATTGAAAAAGAAACCGCCACCCCAGGAGGAATCACCAAATCTCCTAGTTTTGTTTCACCGTCGTATACCCTTCGCGAGGTTGCCACGACTGGCGGATACAACCTAAGCACCTCATATAGTATCATTGTCACCTAATAAAAGCATTTCAAAATAAATTAAGTAAATAATCTCTGTATTACATACAACTATTACAAGAAGTTGTTTAATCAGTTAGTTGGGAAGAGTAGAAGATTTATTGTTATTAGTATGAATGAAAAAATAAAGAAAAATAATAAACATAACCCTAAAAAGCTAAAAAAGAAAATATATTAAGGATAAATTAACAATAATTACATCGATACACGCATAACTCTGTCATGAATTCACAACTTAATTACATTTTAAGAAATATATTTAATGTTCATATATATATATATATATATATATATATATATATATATATATATATATATATATATATATATATATATATATATATATATATATATCCCTAAGGGCCATATATATTATTACCCAAAAAGTAAATACTATGTAATATTTAAGACATATTTAAGGCATGGATAACTTTAAATGTAATTAATTCATATTTATTGGTTTGATACTTAAATCATATTTCCTCCACGAATTAAATAAAGTTGCAACAATTTGACTAATCATAAATCTTACCGTCTTCAAACGGTTGTTTAAGCCATCAAAGTCAGGGATGTTCATGCCAAAGGTTGCAAGAACTTCTTCACGAGCTCGTGTTTGCCATTCTTGGTGCTTACCCAACAAAGCCATTGTCCATGTTAGCAACACTGAGGTGGTTTCTTGGCCAGCTATATAGAACAATTTGCACTCGTCGACCACCTCTAAGAAACTCATTGTCAGATCAACACGCTTCTTATTCTCACAAGTTGATTGAGCGTTAGCCTCTTTAGAGTTTGAATCCAAGAGTATCCCCAACAAATCATCCTTGGCTGGCTCTCCGACCTCCATTGTCTTCTTTCTATTATTGATTATTTTCTTCAATAGGGTTTTTATTTTAACATCCGTTTCGTCCATCCTTTTCTTGCCCTTTGATGGAAAATACCTAATAAGTACATATAATTAGATATTATTATCAACCCAATATGTATAGTATATAATATCTAAGTATAATAATTATTAGTATAATTAGATATTATTTCTAAGTTTCTTACTTTCAAATTGTTTTGAGCTTGCCCAAGCTATATAATTGAAAATTTTAAGGTGCAGGCAGCTATACCTTGCTTGGTACAGCCAAAAAATGCAAAAAGAACATGTAACTATTTTGTAAAGAACATACAGTTATTTTGTAAAGAACATATAGTTGTTTTGTAACGAACATCCAATTATATATATTTTTTTCATATCTAAAGAGCATCTGCAGTATTAATAAAAAACATGATAATATTATGTAATAAATTTTATCTACATATAACCACCCTAATTTGAAGACAAAATTTAATAAACATTTCACATTAAGCAATGATCATTATGTTGCAAATAAAGTACATTACACTGACTGATCAATGAACATAAACATATGTTCTTTTTATTTATTTTTTTTGGTGCAAGTATGTTCTTTTCACTCTAGGTATATGTTCATTACACTTTAATAGTATGTTATTTTTATTTTAGGTATATGTTCATTACATTTTAATAGTATGTTCTTTTCATTATAACTATATGTTCATTACTTTTATATATCATGTTCTTTCCTACAAAACGACTGTACGTTGCACCGTACAGGCGCCTGTAGGAACCAACTATTGCTATATAATATCAAATTGTTTATCTCATGGCATTTAGATAAATAAACCAACAAGTTTATCTAATAACCCTGGTTTATTTATCAAAATGCATGTGATAAATAGTTTTTGTTTATCCGAGAAAATCTTGTATTTTCCCGTTGTTTCCATTAAGTAGGTTAATTCATTATTTGAATCAAAGTGTTATAGAAAAAGATCATTATTTTTTAATTTTAAAGTATTATTACTAGTTTAAATGCTAACAAAAAGCAAATGTTATAATTAAATTGCTTAGAAATCAAGAATGTTTGTAACTTACTTCCATCCTGGAATATAAGAATATTTGATAAGACGAATAATAAGTTCTTTCTCCTCCGTGAGAAGTTCAAATATCTTTCTTCCTTCTTCAAATCTACTACCAAACGCTGCTCGAGAAATAGCGTCTGCACTTAATTTCATAAAATGTGGCCACACATCTATTTCTGAAGAACCTGCTTTTGAAATTATCTTCTCCCACTTACTTAGTGTTTCAGTTACACTAATTTCAAATGATTGGATCATAAGCTACAAAATTGACCCAATTTGAATAACTCGATTGCGTTTTTGTAACTACGGAACAAAATTTAATCAAGAAGATTATGTTTAGAGCATATGGTAGTACGTACCTTGAGCTTGTCGAGATGAAAGGCAGGATTAATTATCTTTCTATGTTTCGCCCATTTGTGGCCTTCATAGTTTACTAGACCAGTTGAAAACTTTTGAGTAAGTGGGTTCAATTTTGGTTTACGGAATTCGTTCATCCTATTGAACCCTTCTTTTATTTGCTCAGACTTTGTAATAAGTATCGTTGGCACTGGACCCATCCATGTGTAACAATTTGATCCTGCTGTTATTTGCATGTACATATAAGTAAAAAATACTTACTAATTCTTAAATAGACTTGGTTTACACTAATTAATCGAGTACTACCAACATTACTTAATACGTGTACCTATAATTTATTTTCCTACTAAAAGTTAAACAAATTAAAATTACCCGAATTGCTTAGAAGCCGATGGAGTATGGGTTGAAGACGATGGAAGTAATCATGAACAAAAGGCATGGGTTTTTCCATTGCTTCACCACGCAATTGTGACATCTCCTTCATGTCTCCAATCAAAAATCGGTACGAGTTTCCAAAAAGACCTTGCTTTCGAAACGATTTCTCTAAGCTTTTGGGTGTAAGCCAGACAATATTTAGTATTTTCCATAACCAATTCAAAATAAAAAAGAACATCAAAACACCAAGTGCATTCGCAACTACACTTGGACTACTCTCAGGAATAATAATCATCATCTTAGTTATTCGATTATTAATTTCGATGCCTCGACTATAGAAATGGTACGTACCTTATATAATCTTCATGATGAAGCTAACCCCTCGAGTTGCACGAGAGATGCAATAATACAGTTTGATTGATTTGTTTAATGTTATGCACTGAGCTGCAATTACTTCTACCAGAAAGTCCATTGAGTCGATCGAGTCGATCGATCACATTATTACTCCAATTGTGGTAAGTTTGAACTATATCGTACCGTTTATTTTATTTTATTTTATTTTATTTTATTATATTATTTATTTTTTTTATCTGATATGATGCTGATTTCTTGTCGCAACACTGTTATTGTATTTAAGTTATTATTATTATTATTATTATGATTATTATTATTATTATTATTATTATTATTATATCTCAAAAACAAAAAGTCATACAACCTACAATAAATTAGTGGGAAGCCGAGATACAATCTGGGCCCCCACTCCTCTAGATATAGCAAAGCCTACCCTAGTAAAAAATATGAGTTGCAGCACGTGCTCCAATGTCTTGCGTCGTCGAGAACCTCTGAATTCGCTTAAGCAACGCAACAACCTCCTTCTCTAATTCACCAAACGAAGAAAAGGAGAAGAGAATGAACCCATATCCAATCGCCTGACAATGAGCCTCATACTTATCCCGCTTCCGCTGAGCTGCATCAGCCACAACCCGTCCAGGAATAAACTCAGATAGTCTTGACTGTGTCAAATGAGAAGATCCTGTCAAATCAACACATACATCACGACCACGATCCCAAGAATAAAGTAACACATCAGCAGGTTTAAGGGCCTCATCGTTCCCTCCAGACAACCCAATATCAACCTCTTTCCTTGCTGAAATCCCAGAACAATAGCAAACATCAAATAGGGTATCCCGAACAACAATGTTATTGTATTTTTATTTTTATTTTTATTATTATTATTATTATTATTATTATTATTATTATTATTATTATTATTATTTTATTTTATTATTATTTTTTTTTAAGACAGTTATTGTATTTTTTTTTTTTTTTGAAAGAAAGTTATTGTATTAAATTATGAAAGATAATCTTTTGAGGTTGTTTTACAGACTTATTTACGTTACCAACATATGGGAAAATAATACGGATCGAGTTAGACTGGAAGAGGGAACGTTTTGAAGCTAAGTCACATTTTCTTGCAACAAAAGCAAGTAGAATTCATGTACAAATAATACAATAAGCACATTTTCTTGCAATCAAAGCAACAAATTAAATTAGAGTGAGATAGGGATAGCTCCAATCAGGGGCGGACCCACCTTTAGTCTTAGTGGGTCCGGTGACACAGTATTTTTTTTAAAAATAAAATATCAAAGAGACCGCTTATTATAGATAGGTGGTCTCTTTGATGCTGCTATTGGTAACAACAAACAATATCAAAGAGACCTCTTATTGAGATAGGCGATCTCTTTAATGCTGCTATTGCTACAAAAGACTTGTAAAATTGAATTCTTAAGTACTGTATTTGGTTGTGGTATGAATTTTTGTGTCCTATTTTTGGATTGAAATCAATTTGGTGAAATATATATATATATATATATATATATATATATATATATATATATGTAATTTTTGGATTGAAATTAATTATGAACAAGACATGGAAAAAAAAATTGTACTTTCACAAATGATCAATAATTGATGGTGACACACTATGTCGGAAATCCTGGATCCGCCACTGGCTCCAATGGTTAAATGTTCTCTCTCGATTCTAGGCTTGCAATTCCTAAACACCCAAAAAAAAAAAAATAATAAAAAAACTAGGCTTTCAATTCCTCTATCACTCTCTAGTAAATTCTTGTTGGTACTATATACTCCCTTGATTTTTTTTCATAGGCACTGTTCACTTCACCTTAAAAAAAATATATTAAGTTAAAATAATTTCAATTCAATAAAAATAAGTTCCATTCAGAAAAATTAATTTCAATTCAGCAAAAATAAGTTCCATTCAGAAAAATTAATTTCAATTCAGTAAAATAAATTCTGTTCAGAAAAATTAATTTCAGTTTTCAGTAAAAATAATTTCATTTTAGTAAAAATAAGTTATGTTCCCTAAAATTCAGTTATCTTAAAGAAGAACTATAATAGAAAATTAGTAAAAATAATTTTAGTTCAGCAAAAATAATTTCAGTTTAGTAAAATTTATTTAAGTTCAGTAAAAATAATTTAAGTTTAGTGAAAATAATTTCAGTTCAGCAAAAATAAGGTGAAGTAAACGGGACCTTTATTCGATCTTCCCATTTGATATCTTAAACTATTCATAATTTGATATAACCTTATAAATTACTCCAAATATATAAAACATAGCATTTATCATAATAAGTCTTATTTGATTTGTTTTAAGGTTAAAAATAGCTTTCGTCTACAAAAATGATACATTTCTATATTTGAATATGTACGGAATCTCTATCATAGAGAATAAAATTAATTTACTGGGCTTCAACCTACCGTAAGGTTTGATTTTAAGCTTAGGTAGTCCTTTTAACCTCAAATTATATTTTGATTGAATTGGTTCTTTAACACTGTTTATGGTCCAGGCCCAAACCGCATGAGAGATTATGATAATACACTGCATGTTTATTGTCATGGCATCCAGATGAGCCATGCATGGCTGTCGACGCTACATACACAGCACTGAGTGAAAAATAAATATGAATTAATGTAACATGTTTTTACTCTTCAAAATCCAATGCTGACGACATTATATTCAAAAGAAAAAAAAAATGCAATGCTGACGAATGGCATCTAGATTCTTATTGTATTTATTTTTTTAGTCATTGATTGGAGGATCAATTCCATTTATTAACGAACTAGCTCACATCAATCATGCAAGCCAAGGGAATGGGGTTTGAAAGAGACTTGAGAATTAACTTCGATGGTGAAGGTAAGCGGTAAAGTTTGTCGCCACATAACTTTATTTTGAGAGTGTAAGGGAATGGGGTTTGAAATCAATGTAAAAATCAATGATTTTAAAGAAAAAAAATTATAAAAAATCAGTAAAAATAATTTCAGTTCAGCAAAAATAATTCCAATTTCGTAAAAATAATTTCAGTTTAATAAATAATAGGAAAATAATTTGAATTCAATAAAAATAATTTTAATTCAGCAAAAATACGATGAAGTTAAGTGATCAGAACCTGAATAAGTTAGGTGTCTAATAAACTGATGGGGCTCTTGAGCTTGAACACGTATATAGATATATATGTTTAAATAAGTTCACGAATTACTTGTTTATTTATGTTTACATATGAACAAGCTCGTTCATTTATGCTCATAAATTTGCTCATTTATTATTCAATTATATATTTCCTCCTTTTTTTTTATCACAATGTTAGGGATTCCACGCTTGTCACTTCAGATTCTATTACATAAATAATATAAGTTGTCGTTGGAAATTCCACGCTTGTCAATGCACATTCTATAACTTAAATATCTTAAATTGTAAAACTTTTTGTGAGAAACTACCTAATAAAATCTTAATTTTTGTGGGAAACTACCTAATAAAAAAATGTTGTGAGAAACTACCTTATAAAAGGTAAAATGCTGTAAGATACTACCTTTGACCGGATTTCCACCGTTGACTTAATTTTACGAAGTTAATCCACCTTAAAACACCCGGCCTGAAACCACCGTACATGAGGGTTGGTTTTCAAGGTGATAATGTTATTTTTGAATTAGTTGGAGGATATTCCGAGTTGGTGAGGATAAATTAGAGCTTTGTGATGGTGGGTTTTGGGGTTAGAGGTGGTGGTTTGGGTTGAAAGGTGGTTTAGGTATGGTGGAGGCGATTTCAATCAAGTAGTTTTACTTTTGGGAATGAAATTAACGCGCGGTGGTTTCAAGAGTGTTTTGAGGTCGATGAACGGTAACAATTCGGTATAGATAGGTAATATATTACAACATTTTACCTTTTCTCAGGCAGTTTTTTACAACATTTTCCCTTTAATTTATTATTAAGTTTATTACAATATTTTTTTATTAGGTAGTTTCTCACAAAGTCTAGGTTATATTAGGTTGTTTTTGACAAATGTCCTAAGTTGTATTATAGTATAAATTATACAAATAAAAAATTGTGTCGTATACTTGTCTAAGCCATAACCGCAACTAAGAATGAAAGATATTCCACTTCATCAGTCCAAGTAAGTTTATCCCAAAATCATTTTATGAATTGTGCATGGTATAGACCCAGTCAAAATACACGAATTATGGAATTTCGAAAAAAAAAAACATTGTGTTTAAATATAAAATACACGAACAAAAAAAAATTCAAAATGATATCTTCCTAGATTTATTAAGAGATTCTTTTGTTGTTTTATACTCCTTGATTTACAGAATTAATTTTTTAAAGTGGACGCTAAACATTGCCCTCAAATCTTCAGTTAACGCCCGAAAAATAACCTAAAATTACGTATTTATCGTTATTGTAAAAATAATTAATTTTACCAAACTTAACAATTTGGAAATTTTGACATTTGCTACCACTAAAAACACCATGTTTGACATTTGCTACCGGTTTAATTTTTTTTTTTTTTTACTTTACTACCACACAAATCAAAGTTTGCTAAAAATTACTACCACTTAACGGAATCCGTTAGGGTTCTGTTAAGTTTATTAAAAATAAAATTAAAAAACCTAGCCACCCACAATAGCTAGCCCCTCCCGTCATCCACCCCTCCCCTCTCCGAGCCGGCGGCCGATGCCTAAAGCTTTGGTCGGCATCGGTGACCCTACTCCCTCCCCTTCCCTTACCCAAAACCGGCCCAAAACCTCCCCTTCCTCTCCGCTTTTGTTTTCCAATTTTCGACCACTTCCCTGACACCCCTAACTCTCCCCAGCCCAGAAACCTAGGCCAGCCCTTTATTTCTCCTCCCTAAATGATAAATTTCGACTAAAAATCTCCCCAATTTCTACAATTCCTCCTTCAAATTGTTGTAATTTCCTTTGTATTGTTCTTAGGGTTGAATTTGGGGTTGATTACTAAATTATCGTTCTACAAAAATCAG